TTAGGAAACAAGACTTCAAGACCACGGCCACACAGCCCGGAAGACCCACACCAGCCAAAACAAACTCAGTTTCGTTAGTAACTCAAACAGGGAAAAGAGTTGTCGGGTGTGGTGAATGCTGGCGTGTTGCCCAAACATTGTGGCGTGTCACCTTTGACCCACGTGTCACAGATTCGCCATCACTGGACTAGGTGATTGTTCCAACTCTAAAAATCTGATTCCTGATCAAGCTGACCAGTCCGTTGTTGTTGCTGTTATTTAAACTTGTATGCCACCCAACTCCCAAGGACTTTGGATGGCTCACAACAATCAAAGAAATAACAATAAAATCAATTAGAGATGGCAAGGGCGAGGAAGTGGAGGGCCTCGCTCAGCCTTGCCAGAGGCCTCAGAAAAGAGCCAGGTCTTCATGGGGGCCAGCTGGATCTTGGGGGGGGGGAGCCTTGTTCCAGAGGGCAGGCATTGTGATAGAGAAGGTGCGCTTCGGAGGTCCCAATCAATGCCATTGTTAATCGAAGGAACCCGGAGTGTGCCAACCCTGGTAAAGCCTGTCCTGACCTCCTGAGGGAAGAGGCACATTCGTTCATGGAGGCCAAGGTTCCGGATCCTCACCGTGCCGCGCCCCTTGATCTGCACGCCTCCTGCCCTTCCTGTGTGAGGGTCGGATCCTGGGCAGAGCGCAACTGCTAGCCGGGCTTTTCGAGGCTTGGCATGACTTGGGACCAGACTGTTCGGGAGACAAACTCTGGCTTTGCGTTTCCACACTGACCCAAGGGTAACTCCCAGAATCGTGGCTTACGAATTAGGTACAAGGCCACACAGGCAGGGGACCGCACAGTTACCCTGGGGGCTGCGCTTGCGCCACGGGCCAAGCCCTGGCATCCTCTGCTCTCCCTCGCCCCGCCCAAGAGGTTGCTGTTGCTCGGTGGGGAGCCTTTTTCAAACGTTTCACCAGGTCTCACTGTGTAGTTTGAGTGTGTGGTTGCTGTTAGACACCCGGAACCCTCTTTCTAGCAGTAGCGTGGGATGGGACTGTTTTTGTTTACTTCAAAAGCGGCTCTCCCAGCCCCAGCTCACCCCACCCAAAGTGGGGCTTCTCTGTGTTATCTTTCGGTGCCTGGTGGAGCATCTTTTTCATATCTCGGGATGCCTTCCGTGAAAGAGAGACGTCTTTTGGAAAGCGTGTTGACTG